CTGGGATTGTAGTTGCAGCTCCTTGCCACTAGGCCACCAGAGCTCCCCTGAAACTTAATTTTTTTTTTTGCTATACTTTTTGTCCTTTGTAGGAAAATCTATTTGGCTAGGCTACCAATTGGAAAATTTTATCCCTTTCTCATACTTTGGGCATGTGGCCAGGAAGGACCGGTCCTTGGAGAAGGACATCATGCTTGGAAGGGTGGAGGGACAGCACAGGAGAGGAAGATCCTGGATGAGATTGACTGACACAATATCTGGGCTAATGGGGTTAGGTGTGTTGGATGGAGATAATGAAACTTGGCTCAGGATAGGTCAGGCTTCAGAGCTTTTGTACATAGCGTTGCTGTGTGTCGTAGGTGACTTGATGGCACATACCAACAATGACAGCTCTTCTCATTACTGTCTTCTTGGTGATCTGAAATGTAGTCTTGTAACAAAAGCTCAGGGAAGAAGAGAAGGCTGAGGGTAGTCCGAATGGTGTCTCCTGAGTGCATCCCCGGGCTGTGACGGCCACTGTGCTGATTGTATCACAATCCTTGTTTCACTATCTGTCTGTCCTAGTGGGATATAAGTTCCATGAGAATGGATCACGTGTCTTTTCAAGTAATTGTTTCTCTATTTGGCCTCGTATTTAAAAAGGCTTTTGTGTCCTCGGTCCTGGTTTTTGTGGATCTCCTGCATCCACTTCCAAAAATGCTTGCCTCCTGAAACTCTGTGAACTTTGAGAAAAGATGAACATTTTGCATGCAAGACTTCGTTCATAGGGTCAGTATGGGTCATCTATTACTCTGCAGCACTAAACAACAACAATGAATAGTCCAGTGTTCTTTGACTTGTGGTGATACCAAAGAGTATGCTTTATCCCGTGGGATGTCCAAAGAACAAACGAATGTCTCAAAACAAGTGCAGCCCATGACTCCTTAGAGACAAGGATGGTGAAACTTCATCCCACGTGCTTTGGGCATGTTGTCAGAAGGGGTCAGGCCTTGGAGAAAGATGACATGCTGGGAAAGGTGAGAGTCAGTGAAAAAGAAGATGTCCTTTATAGGGTGGGTTGACACAGTGACTGCAGTATTGGGCTTCAGCGGGGCAGAGATTGTAAAAGATGACACAGGAGAGCTGTTGTTCATAGTGTCGCAGAGAGTCAACAGCTCAGTGCTTGGGATATAGGAGATCAGTAAGTGAATTAAAAAGGAGAAAACAAATGGATTCCCAGAACCCCATGAGGTGTAAGTTATCTTTCCCCTCTAACAGTGAGAGTTGGGGCCTCATGATTAATCAATTTGCCCTGGGGCACATCCGTGGGATATGACACCTTCTATGCTTGGATATAGATTTAGTTGATTCTCTTAAATCAAATTATAGGGAGCACTGGTGGCCGAGTTAGCAGAGTTGTGCTGCCAACCCAGAGGCAGGCGGTTTGAATCCACCAGCGGCTCTGAGGGAGAAAGGTGAATGGTCTCCTCCCATGTGATTTACAGCCTCTGGAGGGTCAGTCAAGAGTGCATCCTGACTTGACGGTCATGAGTGAACGAACGGATTTACTCAGAAAAACATTTAGTTCTTATTTCATACATACCAGGCATTGAGCTGGAAACTTGTATGGGTCCCAAGATCTGATCCTTTAAAACCAGCACCTCTTGTCATTTTTGTTGCCATTTAAGACTTCTAAAACGACTCACTGGAGAAATCTGGAACTTAGATGACCCTCTGAAACATTTCTTTCCTGTTCTTGAAGCTCATCATTCTCATTCAGATGTCACACCTCGGACTTCATTAGAGATTTCATCATGGCGGGGGGGGGGGGGATGAGAGTGGGGGACCTTGCTCTAGTAAAAATAGAAGTGACCCTAAATTACCTGAATTAAGGACTATTTTACAAGAAGTCATTGGACTTTCATCATACCTATAGATTACCTGGGGGTTTATGTCTTGCTTAAAGTAATATTGACACTAACCAGAGTTCCCTAAGTACATACTGTTTGATAGTGTAGAAAGCACCAGAAAGTCACTTAAGGACAGAGCCTAACAATTGAGGGTTAAACAGGGTATTGGGAAGCTTTGCTGATCACGCACTATTTCCCACATATGGATAATAATGAACTACATAGCACTATTACATATGGGCTCTAATTTTACAAAAATATTTCAGCCTTGTTTTTTTAAATGCTCTGTGCTTTCTTCTCTCCTCCATGTATCTTTCATTGTTGTTGTATGAATGAAATGAAGTTGAAATTCTCTGTTTCGCTGATAGAAAGTAAGTTTCCTGTGGGCAGAGCTGTGACACATGCCTTTGTATCTTATAATTTTTGTATAACAAAGAATAAGAACGTGTCTATTGGCCAAACTGAGGTACCCTGGGGTTGGTTTTTTGGGATTATTTTTTATTTTGGTCAAAAACTTCAGCAGACTTCAGATGTTCCATATCGTTCTCCATCTAAAAGGTATTTGAACTTTTCTAGTAGCATTAAGGAACTCCCAGAATGTCTTGGTGTAAGAGGAGTAATTTTAAAAATACTGAACCAAAGTAGAAGAACATCAGCTGCCGTCCATTTGCAGAATCGTCCCTATCCATCAACACTCTCAATGGTTTTATTAGTGTCCAACTTTATTGATCCGCTGTTCCAATAGAGTAAGTGTGACTGGAGCTGACGGATAGGTACCCAGATCAGGTAATCCTCTGGCCCTGGTTTTGGCAACCTCCGTTAAGTATCTTTTGCACTGTGAACTCTGGGAGGCTCTTAGTGAAATTGCCAGTTAAAGGATTAATGGTCGAGCATCATCAGCACATTAAGAATGTCTTTTTAGAGAAATAAAATGTGAAAATGACTATAAAGTGGAAAGTTAAAAAAAAAGTTTAGAAAATTCCCTTGGTGCCTCTTTGGAGCCGTAGCTGTGTTTTAGAGAACTCAGGTGGTCTAGCAGTTAAGGAGTTAGACCGCCATCCCCCAAAGTCAGGTGGTTCAATCTACCAGCTACTCTTATGGGAGAGAAATGGGAATCTCCTCCCATGTGGTTTATAACCTCTGAAAACTAATCAGAAGGTCAGCTATGAGCTGGTTCTAACTTGGTGGAACAGAACAACAACAGAAACGACATATTCATCAGTTGAAAGTTTTTTTTTACAATTTCCCAAATATGTGCATACTACTAAAATAAATGCCTCCCTGTTGTAGAAGTCACATTGATTATAGATATCATCAGGGAACTCTGGTGACCTAGTGGTAAGGAGTTATACTGTGAGCCCTACCAGCATCATTCAAACCTACCAGCTACTCTGTGAGAGAGGAAAGAAGAAATTGGTCAATCTCCTATGCAATTTACAGCCTGCTGGAGGGTCTGCTGTGAGTCAGTTTTGAGTCAGTTTTGGCTCAAGGGCACATAGCACCAATCACAGTGGATTTCAGAGGGAACCACTAGTACTCAAAGCACTTTCAATTAGGAGTAGCTTTTACAAAGATAATGATACCAAAATACTTCAGTCCCCAAACTGGCTTTTGTGGTTGTTCTTGATCTCTCAGAACAATGCTGCCTTCTGTAAACTTTTCCACCTTAGATCAGCTGAAGTCTGATACGTCTTAACATTTCTTGATGGAGGGAGAAAAGATGGCTGCTGTTCAGGTCCTAGGCTCAACAGCCATCTACGGCCACTGCTGCTACGGAATGTAGGTGCCATAAACAAAGTCACTGAATTTACCATAACCAAATTTTTCCTGAGTAGAAAATAAGTTTCAAAAGAAAATTTTTTTTTTTTTAATTTTTGTAATTTTATTATTTTTGTGTGAGTGTACAGTCAAATCAGATCTGACTGGTACAGGAGGAGATTGTCCCTCCTTCCCCAGCAGAGCATCTGGTGGATTTGAACCATGCGCCTCTGGGATTGTAGTTGCAGCTCCTTGCCACTAGGCCACCAGAGCTCCCCTAAGAAAATCTTCTGGTAATACACAGAATTCCTCCCTCCCTCCTTTTCATATTGAAACCATAGATAATTGTTATTTCCAGGGCTTTTTGTTAAAAGCAGCATGAATATAAGTGACAGACAACTACTTTTCTTTTTGTGTTTTGTTGGAGATTTTGAAATAGATTCACATAATTCAAGCTTGATTCTGTTGGTGCAGCTAGCATTGAATTGCAGAATGATTTTTTTTCCTGTTCTAGAAAATCTCTGTGGTCGTTTGCTGCTGCTTCAGTGTGGTCAGCCAGCATTTGAGCAGTGTTACGTGAACCTCCAAGGCTGACCCATCACTGGGCCTCTGAGGCTATAAATCCCAATGGAGGAGATTGCCCATGTCTCCCTAGGAGCCACTGGTGGATTTGAACCTTTGGAGAGACCACCTTTGGGTTATCAGTTCATCTCCCTGCTGACTATACCTCAGAGTCTCCAGCTTCTGACGCAGAACCCACAATTCATCACGTATTATTATTGCTCTCTAGGCTATGCTTGAAGGGGGCCCTAAAAGTCAAGGTTGAAATCCCATAGCTGCTCCTGGAAAGAAAGTTGGGCGGTCTCTTACTGTTAAGATTTACATTTTCAGAACCCTGTGAGGAGGAGTCATCTCAAGTCAAAAATGGAGCAGAGCCCGTGGGTTTAGGTTTTCTGCGTAGGACTGTATTTGGAGGAGCAAGGATGTAGCATACAGTTGCAAAAACATGACATTGCATTTGTGTCTAAATTGCAATGAGAAGTCATCTTCACCCATTTAGATTTACTGGGCTCCGTGGAAATTTGTCAGCTACCAAGTGCAAGGACAGGGATTCTAAAAACACTTGAGCTCAGTCAGTGGGTTCAGAGCCTTCCCATGGTCTCTGTGGACTTTGTAGTTAAATAAGCATTTGATGATCTCCTTATTGAAGTTTGAGTCGAAGCTTTCGGCGAAAGTGTGAAACAAAAACCGTATTGGTACTCAGTTGATTTAAAAAAAGAAATGAGTTGCACTGATTGCTGTGTTGCGTTCATGCTGCGATGTATTACAAATATCCTCCCCCTCTTCATACAGAGCATGATTTCTTCCATTGTGAACAGCACTTACTATGCCAATGTCTCAGCAGCAAAATGTCAAGAATTTGGAAGGTGGTACAAACATTTCAAGAAGACAAAAGATATGATGGGTAAGCAAAAATCCCTTGCAGCCGTGGCTCCATACCATTACGTGTCATTTGGGGGTTTATCAAAGTCAGATCTAAAGCCAGGTCTTTTGATTGCCCAATTAGAGATCAATTTAGACTGTTTCTTTGGGGGTGGGGAGGGTGGGCATGGGTATAATGAGATAATTAAATTCAATAAATGTTTGTGTTTAAATCAGCCAAACTGACTCGGTTGTCAGACATGCAGGAAATCGAGGCGTGAGGAGGGGAGCTGTCATTTCTTAACATCTCAGTTAAGACCTAACCAGGCCTAGAATGACTTATATTAGCTGTGATTTCTTGCAGGGGTAAAACATGCCTTCAGGTTTGGGGTTTGGTTGTTGAGACATAGAAAGTGCTTGTTTTTACGGGTATGTTTAAGGGGGAAAAATGCCTGTGACTTTTATATTTCTAATTCCCTCTCCCCCATGCATAAAGGCATCGATGAATTAATGCCTTCTCAGCACCCTGGGGTTAGGGGAGAATATTGTTGCGTGGTTTTAAAGCACTCTGTGCCAGTATTGTTCACTGATACATCTGTCCTCTCTTAACATGCAATTTTAGGTCAACCTGTGTAATACAGGAAATGCATTTAAACATCCGCAGTGTCAGATGACAGATGAAAGTTGTGTGTTTTACCCAAGTATTCAGATTATAACATTGTTCTCCCTAGTGAGTTTGTTAGCATTTCCAAAAGTCGACACTGTGATTAAGGTTAATGCTTTAATTTCTATTAATGTTTCCTTTCCTGTGCACGTACCTTCCAAATAATGTCTTTTAAAATAATCTTAGAATCAGGTGTTTAATATGCATAGTATTATGCCATTCTAAATCTATTTCTGTTTACCTCCATTACATTCATTTAATAACAACAACAATAATAACTTTTCCTAGAGGTTTAAAGAGACAAGAGAACTCGAAATTTGAGCATGTTTTAGCTTTTAATATTTGAACAGAAACCATCCATCTACCCAAACAGATTCCTTGCCTTTTATAGCTTAAGGCTGTCGTGAAGACCATGCATCATTTTTGGAATAATTGCTTGAATTACTATTCCCAGTGAATGGGCCACTTGGGCTGATATCACTGGTAGAAATTGAAGGCCTCTCCCCCTAATTCTTAGTTATATTTTACACATATCAGTGACTGTCGCAATGCGTTAAGTTCTTCTAAATATAAAACGTGAATATTTAATGACGAGAAATGACGGTTAAAAACGGAGCCTGGGTCAGCTTTTGGGGAGAATGGTGAGCAATTTGGAAGAGTTACGTCTCGACATACTCAGTCTTCCCAGTGAAGAGCATCAAGCAGTGTTTTCATTGGAAGCAGCCAAGCATTTGACACACTTAGAAGCCGACACTCAGCCAGTCCACACACAGGACCCCGCCAGGGGAGACTAATTCATCCTGAGGAGGGGGGATAGAGGACACAGCTTTCTCTCAAGATTGATTTGTAGCATCTGGCAATAGCCATGGCTTCTTGAAAAAAACATTTTGAGTCTTAGCAATAAATTAATAGTTTATTAACATTCTTCTAAGTGGTATATTACTGGTCTGACCATTTGCTGTACAGAGGTAATTTGTGTTTGCTGTGATGCTGAACACTGCGACACTGATGGTTACCCATGTTGGACAGTGTTTGGTGGAGCTCCCTGATGAAAACAAGCTTGGAAGCAGGAGTGGCATCCACTTCAGAAATGGCTTGCCTCCGGAAACTGTGTGAACATGGAGAAAGGATGAAAGTTATACAAGTGTTCAGATCTTTTATTTACAGGGTTGCTATGAGTCATCTATGACTCGACGGCACTTAACAACAACCAGCAAATTAATAGCTTTATCCTGAGAAATATTTATAGATACATGTCCATTCTTGGGAGGTTGTAATTAACACCAAATTAGCTATATCAAATGCTCAACACAGTGTCCAGTACAGTCAGTGTGATGATCATATTCAATCTTTATTATATGGAACCTTTATATTCACAGCAAGATAAAAATTAAACACACAGAACATTTTATGTCTTCTTTGTCATCTAAGTCTGTTTGCCAGGGTATTAATGTTTAACGTTGGAAAATATTTGTGAAATCTCTTAGTTGAATGTAGGAGGTTTTTTTTCGGGGGGAGGGGGTTGTGGTTTTTTTTTCTTAGTTCAACTCATTCCGTGGTTCTAGTTGCCATTAATGGAATGGCATTCTTCTAGAAGCAATTTTTAAAAAGAAATGTCATTGCTTCTCAGCCCTCTTGGGGTAATCAATGACAGGTTTCAGTTTGGTGTCACAAGTCACCTAGAATTTTAATTAATTTTATCCCTTTCATTTAATCCACACGAAAAATATTAGCTCAGAAGTGTGTGTTCCTAAAAATATTAGCTCAGAAGTGTGTGTTCCTAAAAATATTAGCTCAGAAGTGTGTGTTCCTTTTTTCAAAGTACATGGGATTGAAGAAGAGAGGAGGAGGACAGCTTGGTGAGTTCCATCGTGAAATTATCTTTTATTAGGTGGTTGTTTTTTTAAAGTTTTTATTAGGATGTCTACTCTTTATCTAGAAGACGGTAGGGAATGCTAATGGAGGCTCCTCATTATTCCCTTTAACCCAGTTTTCCTTTGTCCACTTTAGTTGAAATGGATAGCCTCTCTGAGCTGTCCCAACAAGGCTCCAACCACGTCAACTTTGGCCAGCAGCCCGTCCCAGGAAACACAAGCGAGCAGCCTCCGTCCCCCGCGCAGCTCTCCCACGGCAGCCAGCCCGCTGTCCGGACCCCTCTTCCGAACCTGCACCCTGGGCTCGTGTCCACACCCATCAGCCCTCAGTTGGTCAACCAGCAGTTGGTGATGGCTCAGCTGCTGAACCAGCAGTACGCAGTGAACAGACTTTTAGCCCAGCAGTCCTTAAACCAGCAGTACTTGAACCACCCTCCCCCCGTGAGCAGGTCTATGAACAAGCCTTTGGAGCAGCAGGTTTCCACCAACACAGAGGTGTCTTCTGAAATCTACCAGTGGGTACGCGACGAACTGAAACGCGCAGGCATCTCCCAGGCAGTGTTTGCACGCGTGGCTTTCAACAGAACTCAGGTGAGTCTCGTTCCGTTTATCACTGGTTCTTCTCTTTTCCTCTCTCCTGTTTTCAGCCTGGCTTATCCTCTTGTTGGTGCTTTTCCTACTGGTGTTCTTTCTGGTTACCATTTACTACTTGTATGCGTCATTTTTGTTTGGGACTGTTAATGAAGGTGTTTCGGTGTGACCGCTTTCCCCCTTATCAGTTCCCTGGCGATCCCAGAGAAAGCTGTGGTAGATTGACTTCAATTCGGCGGCCTTGAAGGAAAGGAATATAAAACATATTTTATCCGATGCTGTGATATCATGGAATCATAGACTGTATGTATTTGAATGTTGAGAAGAGTTTCATTGGCTCAATCAAGGTCATTGCCATGGTTCCAGGGTTCTACTCCCCTGCCGTTTTCCATGCTACCATGACTTCACCTCAGTTTGCTGGTACAAATCTCCCACAAATGGGTGGCATGGAAGAACAGATGTTTAGTTTTTCACACGTGTGGAGACTGAGGTCCGACTCGAGGCCTGGAGTCTTGAAGCCCTCTCAGAGTCTCTCTTTTAGGGTCTGATGATTCTGACATTGAACCCCTCTCAGAGTCTCTCTTTGAGGGTCTGGTGATTCTGACGTTCCTGGGCTTTTTGAGTCACCCGCTGTGCTCTTCCCAATGCTATCTTGCCTGCATGTTCACCTCTATATAGTTAGTTCTCCCTCTTTTCCGCCTCTTGTATCCACTGCTCCTACTCTGGTGTGACCTCAGTTACCACTGTGCTTCCAAATAGTCCTGGGATTAAGACTTGTAGTTGGAGGTAGGGGGCACAATTTAACCGATTAAACCACCATGTCATCTATAAATACGTATATGTATCTATACGTGCCCTGTGGAAGCTATGTTAGCACCGTCAAAGAAAAAATGGAGTCTGAGTAACTGAATCTGATCCTTTGTGACCATTTTGATTGAAGAGTGATAGGGCTTATTAACATAAAATACTTAATATGCTTGTTAATATTCTTCCAAACTGCATTCTCAAGACCAGGGGCCACACATTTCTTCAATAATGAGCCTGAAGGTGAAGATTTCGTGTGTTCCAAACCATGAGAACGCTGTCACAGCACTGTGACTTTATTTCCCCCCAATACATCTATGTAACAGGCTAGATTTAGCCATAGGTCCTGGTTTGCCGGCTCCTGAAATCTGCATATGCACCCAGGGCCCACACCTTTGTCCTCCTGGGCAAATTCCTACAAAGATGCCATCAGCATAGAAGATATTTCAGTAAGGCATGAAGAAAATACGACCCACGAGAACCCCCTAAGGTAACAATATTTGAGGACCTCATGCGTAATTTGATTGTATCATACCATGGATGAGAGCAGGCAAGGGGAATGTCTGTTTTATTTTTCTGATTTGTTTGGAAACACGTATGATAGGAACATGGATTCTTTTTAGCCCAGGCATACTGAAAAAGTAAAAGAACGTGTAACTTTGATTAGAATGAGGACGTTACATCCTTTCAGCTTCACTGTTTTTTTGTCAAGTTTTTTGGTTTTGGGTTTTTATAGGGTGTTGGGTTTGGTTTTTTTTATTGGCTTGACATTCTTTTCTGTTATATTTAAGTAGTTTTGTTACATGATTATGAGAATAAAATCCTGGTACAGAAATAATCTCATATTAATTCCTTGTTGGCAGAGTTTCCATACCTTGGAGAATCCCAGCTGTGGTTTATTTTTGGCTTGCCTTAACTAGATTGGGAGTTAAGAGACCTGACGAAGCCCTCAACTCGGGGTTGTTTTCAATTTATTTATCTGGTGGTGGTATTGGGGTTTTTTTTAACATTATTTATCTGTTTCTAGAAGGGTAATTGCAGAAGGTTATGTCTTGGGTTAAAAAGCCTATGGTTTTACCCACTTGTTATATATTTAGAGCTTTAAAAAAAAGTATTCATTATTAGCTGGTACATACCACACTCATACACAGAGCATATCAAATAAAAAGGGGGAGAGTGAATTTGAAAAAAAAAATCAACTCTCTAGATAACTCATTTCTATTGCAATTCTTTATTTTTTTTAAAAATGACAGTAGTTCTCTGTACTGGCCAAATAGATATATACTATACACACACACACACACACACACACACACACATATATATACAGTCTCTCTCTCTCTCTCTCTCTCTCTCTCTCTCTCTCTCTCTCTATATATATATAGTCTCTATTTACTGGTTCAGAAAATAAATATTCGTAGAATTGAATTAAAAGCTCATAGGCCGAGGCAGTATTAAAATCCTCACACGTGACAGACTGATTTCCTGATGAACACTTGATAGAAGTTGGGTAGTTCTTTGGAAGGGAAGCTGTATTGTGACGCTGTGAGCTGAGGGAGAGGAGGGTGAGGTGATGTCTCCACAGTGCGACGACACTACAGTCATGTCTGTGAAAAGGTGGCCATTTGTTCTGCCGCTGGTTCTCACATTGACAAATTCCAGGAATATCTGTAGGATTAGTTACTGGAAGAAAGACAAGATTCTCTATTAATCACTTTGAAAAGATAGTAATTTCTACAATTAACATCACACAGAGCGAGTATGATTCTGAGGGGAGTAGAAAGACAACCTGGTAAGGCTTCATACTCAGAACAGCCCAATTCAAAAAAACTAATTTCCAAAGCATTAGGGCGCCAGTGGCAGAAGAGTGCTTGACTGCTATCCCAAAGGTTGATGGTTCAAACCCATCCATAGGAGAAAGACACAAGAGTCTGCTCATGTAAAGATTTACAGCCTCAGAAATGTAGTGGAGCAGTTCTGCTCTGCCGTTTGGGGTCAGAATCAGCTAGAGGACCATAGATTTGGGCTTTGAATGGAAGATAATGGGATTGACTTTAAACTATTAGTATGTCATCCTCCTCCGTAAGAGTGAGGGTCCGGCCATATTTGAGGCTGTTCAATGTCAGTGAAGGGTAATTTTCTGTGTACCTAGATGTTCTGTTCTCAAGAATTAGCTTTTGCACATGCACGCACGCATGTATTTACAGTGGTCATACTTAAAAACCAGCATGCACACACGTACATGCAGCTGCATTGATTTTAATGATTACACATTCATATGAATGCATGTACTGTGTTTATTTCAGAGTGTATGCATTTCAATCAAAGCAGGTGCAGAGTGAGTGTGTGGTGTGGGTGTGGAGTATGGAAAACACACATGCTAATGCATATGTATGGAGGAAGGCCTTCACAGACCTGCACGTCACGGATTTGCACACACGCGTTACAACATGCAGTTCCAACCCCATGTTAAAAAAAATGTGTAAAAGATGGAGGTCCAAACCAGAGTTGCATCATTGGGTAATGTCATCATCATGTGAAAACAGTATGGTGGAGAATCGGACGGAAGTCAAGCCTTTGCTGGTCTCCAGCAGCTCTGTAGATCTTCAGATTGCTAGGTTTCAGGTTTTAAAATGCTGCTCTCATCATTTCAGTGGGGCTTCCAGAATGAAAATGGAACTCTGTTGTTAAGATTTTCACACAGGAGTGTTTTTGATTTTTTTTTTCAAATTTTATTAATTTTAATGAACCTTTACAGAGATTTTGGATTTCCATTTTTCTCCCTGCCCACCCCTCCTCCTCCTCCAGTTCACTCTTCTCTTTGAAAAGTAAAAGAAAAATTCCTTCATTGGTATACAATGCCCCTGCCCTGAGTACACTCCACTATGCACCTTCATTCTGGACTCTTGTGATAGCCATAATACCCGAGCATATATCGCTTTTAAACTGTTCTCTCCCTCATCTGTTCAGTGCAATATCTGTTGTAGAACGGAACTGACATCAGGATTGGGGTAAGACTGAGAAAAATTGGATAAATTATGTATACTGCATTGAAACAGATGAGGTTTTTTTTTTTAAAGCGTACCTTTTCTGGAAATGTATGGTGAATGTTAATGTAATTATTTGTGAGAAGGATGCTTACCCCTCTGAACGGATGGGCATAGGTTCTTTAATTGCAACACCAACTTTTAAGTGATGTCCATTCAATTATTCCTGTTTGTTATCTTTGTAATGGAAACTGGCTAAAAAGAACTGCAGAAAGTTTTAAGTTGTGAACTTGTCCATTCACCACCCTTTGATGAGACTGTTTCAAGGTTGCGATAGAAGAAAATATATTCTTTAGTGCCTTTTAAAAGAATAAAGCCCAGAGATTAACTCTGATCGCATTCTGTGGCTTTTTTCTCTCCCCCCTCCCCCTTTTGTCTTTGGCACACTTTATTTTCCAGTAAAATGAAGAATGAAGATGGATTATTCAAAACTGATAACAGTAATGGACCATCATGTAATGTTTTATTGAATTTGAGTTCTGTAAATTATGTGGTGGAGAGAAATTTGCCTGCTTAAGTATAACAGAAATTGCTACTGTGTTCCTATAATTCTTCACAGTGTAATTTAAGAAAAGTCCACTATCCATATCACTATTGAATAAAAGGCAAAAAAAGGTGCTATTACCCCATCGTGACAGCTCTGGCCGAGCTTAGCCAACGACAGAGATAAATGTGTCTGCTTAGAACTTACTTGGCATGGAGCCAAGGTAGTAGGTGGAGTTTCAAAATAGTCTTTCACCTGGACATGTGATTAAAAATTCACCAAACAGTACAGGCAGGTCGCCTTGAAGAGGATTTCATGTTTGGGGTTTTTTTTCTCTTGAAGGGGGAGGCGTCATCAAATCATATTTTCATGGAACTCTGAACTTCCATGAAGCTGATAAAATCTATCTGAATCAGTGATTATGTTCAAAGAGGAGACAATTGGGAGGCCAGAGTGGCTTTTGGTTCAGATTGGCAGTCTCTCTTGCTTATCTGCTGTTTTTTAAAGAATTCATAATTAGCTTTTGGAAAGACTGATAATGTTTATTGAAGAGTTTATCCTCCACCCGGGTTTGTTACCCACCTCCCTTTTTGCAATTTCTAATGAATTTTACTTGTAATAATTTGTAAATTCCGTTTGGAATGCAAAAAGAAAAAAAAAAGGGC